GGTCTGTTCATTTGGAGGTTCAGATAAGAACACTGTGGCAGGCCTCAGCGGAACAGAGCTTTTTCATGGGGATTCGGGAAGGGCAGAATAAAAGCTGTGGTGAGCAGCAGAGCTGTTTTGTCTCAGAAAATTAGTTAGGACAGGTTTTAGGAGCGTCCTAGGGTAAATTTTATTTTATGTTATTTAGATGAATAACATTGGAACATTAAGATAATCTTTGGAAACCTTGTAGAGTTTCCAGGAAACTAATAGAAAGAGAGGTCAGTTATAATAAATGTGCCCTCAGGGTTTTAAGTATGTGTGTTATTTGGTCTGGTATTGCCCACAAAATGAGATGAGCTAGGTATTTTTAAGGTACTCTTATGACTTACATCTGTTTTTGTTTTATTCATAATTGTTACTAATGTTACTGAGCTATAGTCTAGAACAACGCTTACGATTTGAAAAAACCGAATTCAATTATTCCTTAATTTAATGTTTCAATTCAACATTTACTGAATACTTAAAATTGAGTGAGAAAAGACAGTGCCAGGGTGTGTGTGTATGTGTGTGTGTGTGTGTGTGTGTGTATACAGAATTTTAGAAAATTAATTGTATTCACATGTTTTAAAGTCAGCTTCAAATAAAATTTCAGACTTGTAAATGTTTTTCCACTTTATGTCTTTCATATCTTCTATTATGTTTTTGTTGTAGTAGTTCCTCCAAGACTACAGGAAAGCTAAGCCTAATTCAGTGACCCTTGTTCTCTTGTGTTGATAAAAGATAGGAAAATAAAATATCTTCTCTTTTGTGATTCTAATAGATAATTATCATTATTGTTAGTAAGCTATTGGATAGAAGACTTCATATTTAAAAGCATTTACTCAAGTATAAGTATAATTTAATGGTTTATACAATTCAAATCAGCAAACGTTTACTGGGTTAAGCACTGCGTTAGACACTAGGAATAACAAAAATGAATAAAATATAGACCTGTGGGTAGGAGGCATTTGAAATGAGGGTAATTAATATTTTTGAGCAACGACTTTATGACAGATCTTTGCATATGATCTTTGTAAATATTTTCTCATTAATCCTTATAACAATTATGTTTTATGAAAGAAGAAACTGAGGCTTAGAGCAATTAAGTGATCTACTCAAGGTCACAAAACTCATTGAGGTTAGAGCCTAGAATGGAACCCATATTTTAAATGCTTAAACACTAAGTATATACTCTTTCCATTGGATCATTCTATCTGAATGTTAGTCATTGACTCTTGGAAAAAAGGAACTTTTATGAATGACAGTTTTAACAGTTTTCAGTTTAGCAAACAGACATACAATGGTGTGCAGTGACTGTATATTTTTAAATAATTTTAAATTAGGAAAAATTTGACACATGGAGGTATAAAGAATAGCACCTGTATTGTCACATGAAGCTGTGCTCTATATGCAACTTTAACATTATGCCATGTTTGAGTCAGACGTTTTGAAGTAAACAAAACATAGAACTGTTAAGGCTTTCTACCCCTCCCTGATTCCATTCTCTTTTCTTCCTCCCCAGATGTAAAACTATCATGAATTTGGTATTTATCAGTTGTGTGCATGCATGATTTCTTATTTTTACTATGTGCTTATGAATCTATAAACAACATAATATTTTGCAGGTTTTTTTTTTTTTTGAGTTGGAGTCTCACTCTATCGCCCAGACTGGTGTGCAGTGGCCGCTCCCGGCCACTGCAGCCTCGACCTGCTGGGCTCTGGCGATCTTTCTGCCTCAGCCTTCCAGGTAGCTGGAATTACAGGCGCGCGCTTCCACGCCCAGCTAATTTTTTGATTTATTGTAGAGGCGAGGTCTCACCAAGTTGCCCAGGCGGGTCTCGAACCCGCGGGCTCAGGCAATCCATTCACCTCGACCTCCCAAAGCACGGGATTACAGGCTGAGACACCGAGCCCGGCCTGAATGCGCCTTTTATATGAAATAAAACATCGCAGGCCAGGTGCAGTGGTTCAAGCCTGTAATCCCAGCACTTTGGGAGGCTGAGGTGAGAGGCTTGCCTAAGCCCAGGAGTTCCAGACCAGCCTGGGCAACTTGGTGAGACCTCATCTCTACAATAAATAAAATAATTAGCTGGGCATGGTGGCATATGCCTACAATTCCAGCTACTTGGAAGGCTGAGGCAGAAGGATCAACTGAGCCCAGCAGGTAGAGGCTGTGGTGGCTGTGAGCATGCCATTGCACTCCAGCCAGGGTGACAGAGTGAGACTCCAACTCAATAAATAAATAAACAAAATACTGCAAATAACAGATACAACCCCCTCCTGCTGCCCCTGCACACCATTACTCCCCACATGACTTCACACATTCATTTCCTACCCATAGACACTGCCATAGCTGTAAGTTGTCACCTAACCTGAATAGTAACCTGAATAGTAACCTATGGTACACATCTAACTTGCAACTTGGCTTTTCATCCAACCCCATGTTTTTGAGATTGACACCTGTTAAAATATACACATGGCTCATTCATTTTAGTTGCTGTAGAACATTCTGTCACACAGATGCATCCCCTTGCCCATCTGTGATTTTCCAAATGAAGAATGACTGGTTCCCACTTTCCCAAAACTACGAGCCAAGATTTAATGACCACCTCTATACACATGCTGCCTGGTCACAGGGAATGGCCGTCTTCGCCAGTACACCGGGGAACGCCTACTTCCCCACATTTTAATGCTTGATGCAATGTGGTACCTATCTCATGCTGCATTCACCTAATTAACAGTGAGCCTGAACAACTTCTTGTACCTGTGCAGGCAGTTGTCCAAAGCAGCAATGACTCCCTCCCCCTGGTGTTCATGCCCTGTATGACTCCCTGAGTGGGGGTGGGGCCCAATGACTTGCCCATAATGAACAGTTTATGGCAGAAGTAATGTGATGTTGTTACCGAAACCAACTATAAAATGCCATAACTTCTGCTTGGCTGGTGTTCTTGGAGGAGGCCAGCTACCATGCTGTGAGCTGACCTATGAAGAGCCCCAGAGCAGTAAACCAAAGTTGATTTCCAAACAATGGGCAGAAGGGAGTCAAGTCCTGCACCACCATGGAAGCTTGGAAGCAGCTCCTTCCCCAAGTGAGCCTTCAGATGATTCCACAGACCCAGCAGACACCTTGACTGCAGTCTGTGAGAAACGCCTGGCTGAGGACCCAGCCCAGTTGTGTCCGGATTCCTGACCCACAGAAAGTGAGAGATGATATGCATGTGCTATTTAAATTGCTAAATTTTGGGGTCATTTGCTATGCAACAGAAGACTAATATACATGTTTGTGGGCCATTTCCAACTTCTTTTTTTTTTTTGAGTTGGAGTGTCACTCTATCACCCAGACTGGAGTGCAGTAGCCACTCCCGACCACCGCAGTCTCGACCGGCTGGGCTCCGCAGATCCCTTCACCTCATCCTTCCAAGTAGCTGGAACTATAGGTGCGCGCTACCACGCCCGGCTAATTTTTTGATTTATTGTAGAGATGAGGTCTCGCCAAGTTCCCCAGGTGGGTCTCAAACCCGCAGGCTCAGGTAATCCACTCACCTCAGCCTCCCAAAGCGTGGGATTACAGGCTGAGCCACCAAGCCCAGCTGATTTCCAACTTCTATACATTCCAAATATTTCCTTCAAATTGTGACTTGTCTCTTCAATGTATTGTGACTTCCGTGCTATAAAAGTTTCCGCGTATGTTGACTATCATAAATTTTTCAAAGATATATACAAGCAAAGTAACAAGCTCCCATGTTCTTATCAACTTCAGTTATCAACATTCTGCCATTCTTATTTCAGACTACATAAGATTTAAATTTTAATCAATCTTTCTCTTTATGATTTGTCTTCCTTCCTTCCTTCCCTCCTTCCTTCTTTCTTTTGTTGAGTTGGAGTCTTCCTCTGTTGCCCAGGCTGGTGTGCAGGGGCAAACTCACGGCCAGCGCACCCTCAACCTCTGGGCTCAGGCAATCCTTCTGCCTCAACCTTCCAAGTAGCTGGAACCACAGGCACATGCCACCACACCTGGCGAATTTTTAAATTTATTGTAGAGATAAAGCCTCGTCAAGTTGCTCAGGCTTGTCTCGAACCCCTAGACTCAGGCAAACCTTTTGTCTCTGCTTCTTAAAGTGCTGGGATTACAGGCATGAGCCCCTGCGCCTGGCTGATCTTTCATGTGTGCCCTAAGAAGCCTTTACCACCCAAGCATCACAAAGATAAGTCTCCTGTGTCTTCTTCTAAATATCTTTGTTTTCTTCTTCAATTTAGATCTTTATTCTATTTGGAATTTGTTTGTACACTCAGTACGAGACAGCAGCTTACTTCTTAAGATATGAATCACCATTTTCTCCAGCATAACTGATTGCATAAGCAGTCTACTCTCTCCCTAATAGTCTGTAACAGTGTCTCGGGACACAGAAAGCTTCCATTTACAGGTGGCTCTGTTTCTATGCTCCCAGTGAGGTCAATTGCTCTCGTCTCACCTTTAAGGATACCGTGAGGTATGATGAGTCTTGTTACACAGTAAAATAAATATCCCCTCCTCATTCTTCAAAATTGCTTGGCTACTCTTATCCTTATTCTTTATATAAATTTTAGGGTTAGTCCAACAAGTTCTAACCAAACAACTTTTTGCAGATGTTTTTATTGTAATTACATTGAATTTTATAGAAATGGCTTGTATAGAAAGTTTGGTAAAATTCCTCTGAAAAAAATCATTTGAGTTTGGTGTTTCCTTTTAAGTATGATTCAATTTCTTTAAAGGTTAAAGTTCTATTTAGTTTTCTATTATTTCTTAGGTCAGCTTCATAATTCTTCTAGTATACCGTCCATTGCACATAAGTTTTCAAAATGTTTAGCAGAAAATAGTAATCCTTTCATTTTGAGAGTTTTACTGTATTTTGCAATTATGTCTGTTTTATCATTTAACTAAGAAAACTTATCTTAAAAAAGATGTGATGAGCCAGGCATGGTGGCTCACGCCTGTCATCCCAGCACTTAGGGAGGTGGAGGCGAGAGGACTGCCTGAGAGTCCAGGGGTTTGAGATCCGCCAGGGGACTCGATAAGACCTCATCTGTACAATAAAAAAAAAAATTAGCCAGGTATAGGTGGCACGCACTTGTGGTTCCAGCTATTTGGAAGGCTGAGGCGGAAGGATCACCTGAGCCCAGCAGGTCAAGGTTGTGGTTGCCGTGAGCATGCCACTGCATTCCAGCCTGGACAACAAAGTGAGACTCCAACTCAAAAAAAAAAGATGTGATGGCTGGGAGCAGTAGCTCGCACCTGTAATCCCAGGACTTCGGAAGACCAAGGTAGGAGGGACTGCTTGAGGCCAGGAGTTTGAGATCAGCCTGGGTAACATAGCAAGACCTCATCGCTACAAAATAAAAAATAAAAAAATTAGCTAGTCACGGTGGGAGGCATTCCTGTAGTCCCAGTTACTAGGGAGGCTGAGGCAGAAGGATTGCCTGAACCCAGGAGGTCATGGCTACAGTGAGCTGTGATCGTGCCACTGCACTCCAGTCTGGGTGACAGTCTTTTCAAAGAACAAAATTCTGGTTTTATTCTTTGTTTTCGTTTCCACTCTTGCCTTTCTGGCTTTTTCTTCTTGAGACAGGATCTTGCGCTGCCACCCAGGCTGGAGTGTAGTGACTACTCAGGTGTGATCAAGAATCGCCAGGCTCAGGTGATCCTTCTGTCTCAGCCTGTCAAGTAGCCGAGACTACAGGTGCCCCACTGTGCCCAGCTACCCTTATATTTCTATGTTTTCTGTTTGATCTGTTGTTCTCTAAACTTCTTCACTTAGAAACCTAGTTACTTTCTATTTGTTTTTCTTTACTAATATATAAGTTTAGATATATAAATGTGCACACAAGTACTCTTTACCTGCATACCACAAATTTTTATAGTGTTTGTAATTCCATTCACTTCTAACTACTGTCTAATTTCCATTATGACTTTGATCTATGAGTTATTTAAACATTTTTTTTAAACTTCCAAACATGGTCTGTATCTAAATTATATTGAATCTGTTGAGGTTTACTTTGTGGTTTATGAGAGGGGAACCCCCCCAAAAAACAGAATTATCTTTTGGAGGGCAGGTCCCTATAGTCCAGGTTTCCCCGCTAGGTGAGTGTTCCAGGAGCTGGTCGCATCCATGGACCAGTTGGGTGTTGTTGTGAGCAGCTGTGTTCAGTTTTAGGGAATCTATTTTTGGAGATTCTTTCAGTGCATTTGCCCATATCATTATGGGTGATTTACAAGCGCACCTGCCCACAAAGCACTGAGTGCTCAGCAGTTTTTGACCAAAACCAGCATGACCACCATGCCCTACCTTCCCTATTCACCCGATTTCGCAATGAGTGACTTTTTTTGTTTCTCCCAATGAAAAGAGTCCTCAAAGGGAAATGTTTTGCCAATGTGAAAGAGATAAAAAAAAAAAAAATTGGCAGAAGTACTAAAAGACATCAAAATCAATGAGTTAAAAAACTTTTGAGCAATGGAAAAACTGTCTTGATAGGTGTATTGCATCAAATGGATAGTACTTTGATGGTAACTGAAGTTTAAACATGTAAGAATAAATATGCAGTTTTTTATAAATAAATTCTGGGGTTTTTTTGGGTCCCTCCCTCATATATATGATTATTATTTTCAACATTATTGAAAAGAACAAAAATTCGCTAGAGTGCAAGACAATATTTGTTCATTAATGCTAGTTATTTACTAAATCTAGTAAGTTAATTGTGTCATTTCTACCTTATTTGTTTCTACTGATTTTTGGTCTCAAGTTACCAATTGAGAGAGATGTGTTAAAATTTCCCAACCCAGCCAGGCCTGGTGGATCAAGCCTGTAATCCCAGCACTTTGGGAGGCCAAGGCAAGAGGACTGACTGAGCCCAGGGGTCTGAGACCAGCCTGGACAACTTGGTGAGACCACGTCTCTACAATAAATAAAAAAAAAAGCTGGGCTATTTACTATTGCATATTTATTCTTACATGTTTAAACTTCAGTTACCATCAAAGTACTACCCATTTGATGCAATACACCTATCAAGACAGTTTTTCCATCGCTCAAAAGCTTTTTAACTCATTGATTTTGATGTCTTTTAGTGCTTCTGCCAATTTTTTTTGTTTTACCTCTTTCACATTGTAGTTCCAGCTATTTGGAAGGCTGAGAAAGAAGGATCGCTTGAGCCCAGTAGGTCGAGGCTGAAGTGGCCATGAGCATGCCACTACACTTCAGCCTGGGTAACAATTCCCAACCTGATTGGAGGTGAACTCTTCTTCTTTAATTAAGTAAAATTTTACATTCCTTTTTTTTTTTTTTT